GTCATGCAATAATAAACTATAAGGACTCTGTAGCCAACAAGATTTATCATGTCTCATTCAGTCTCAGAGCTGTTCCCATACTAGAGGGATCAGCATACATGTCACCTGTCCTGTAGTCTTTCTTGGTTTCTTTTTTCATGTCTGTAGTCAAGATTTTCAGGAGATCTACCCACATCAAATCTGATCTTTATTAATTTTGAAGAGAACCATAGCTATTTGTTTCCTGTGGAAACAAAGGCATAACCTTTCTCCCTATGCAACATATCTTTTGACTCCCATTCTAAAGGGAAGATATTCTTAAAATGTTAGGTTAGTTTAATTTGACAGTTTCCACGATACAATGTCTCTCAGCACCTATTGTTTTTTGGTTTGTTATCATTTAAAATATTCAAAGTAAACAAAGTACCATACAGGATCCAGACACCCTGTTTATTTTCCATCTTATGTGGCTTTTTAAATATTACTTTACTCTCTCTTTAAAGACTTCATTATTTTTAAGCATTTTTTCTATGACTGTCTATACTCATTTTTTTTTTTTACTATATCTATTTGAAGGTTTTCTCAGTCTGGAGCACTTTACTACATGCCTGCTGTGTTTTCTGACCACAAGACAAACTTGTGTACATGACACTGGCTGGCTCAAGGCTGCAGCCCACTTGAGAGACTGCAAGACTAGGAAGCTGTGTCTGGCTCTGTGTTTGTGTATTTTGGAACTTTTAGAAAAGCTTTCTCAGGTCCCATGTGGAAATATGTGCCCTACATTTGGCGCCATACATAACAAGGTATCTTGTTGAACTATCTTTGGACCCCCAGCCAGCAAATAATGATCCAGAATCTTATTATTAATTGTGAAAGCTTAGCCTTTATCTTTGGCTTGTCTCAACTAGCTCAACTAATAGCTTAAGTTAATTGATAAGTCTTGAGGTATGTTTTGCCACGTGGCATTCTTCTATCTTGCACCTCCTCTTTCCCCTCTGTGTCTGGCTGGTGACTTTGCCTTTCTTCTTTCCAGAGTCCTCTCTGTATCTGGAAGTCCTGCCTAACCTCTTCCTACCTAGATATTGGCCATTCATCTCTTAATTAAACCGATCAGAAGACTCTTTGTCAAAGACACATCTTTACAGTGTAAACAAATATTCCATAACAATGATATATTGCTACAGTTGTCATTGTTAACTCTTATTGTGCCCAGTATGTAAGTTAAATTTCATTATAGGTGTATGGGAAAAACAGTGTATACAGGATTTTCACTGTCTGCGGTTTCAGACATACACTGCGGTCATGGAATGTATCCCCCACAGACAAGGAGTGGCTCCTGTGCATTTAGGAAGTTGAGGTTCAACAACAAATAGGAGTTAAGTTAGTCTTAACAAGTACAACCGCATACTATAACAACTGGACCAGTGACATCACCTTTTTAACTTGGGGTCATTATTAAATACTCAGAAGACAACTCAGTTTTCTAATTTTGGCAAGCTGACCTTTGACCCCATAAGGCTTCTTCTAACAGAAGCCAGAGTTTGGATAAGTACTAAAATTATAAGAAATGTTACGAGTGACTAATTTATTTGTTATAAAACTATTTTGATAGTTTAGGAAAAAAAACTGTCATGACTTTATGGTTTTAGAAAATATAAATGTAGTTTTGTTTGCAGTACGAGCTCATGTTTGCGTAGTGATTCCTGGAGTGAAAAGCACTATTTTGTAAGCAAACCCCTGTGAAGCCTGTAGCTCTTGAGCAACTTAAGTACAGTGTGTTTGGCTGAACAGAAATTTTATTTTCCTAGAGTTCCACAGTGCATGCAGGGAATATGTAGAAGATAACTCTAGCCACGTTCAATTTGTATTGTGAATGGGGCATCTGGGCCATGAACCGTGGAGCTGGCCAGAAATAGGAATTTGAGAAACCTCAGCATAGGACAGTGTCCATGCTTTTCATTTCGGCTGTGCTAAAAAAGATGACATGCGATCATTTTTAAACTTGCAAGAAGCCGCAGGACAATAGGTTAATTTTGACCTTAGAACCATAAAATTTGTTTTTAGAAAAACTCATTCCTGCTCATTCTGGTTCAACTTGAATGGGAACTTTTTCATCCTGAGGAGCATTTGATTGTGTATCTGGCAGGGGATGACGGTGGTGGTGATGATGATGAAAATACTAGTGTTGGGGCTTCCTGCAGAGCTCAGGCTGTCTCGGCCTCACTTCTGTGTACTCCTCCACTCATTAAAGCAGTGCTAGGCTGCTTGGCTCCACCCTGGATCTCTTACTGAAGCCTAAGCTCTCTTTCGGATAGCCAGTACCCGCTCCTGGCTCCTCTCCAGTCTCACTAGATTGACCTCATGGTCACCTGCAGACCTTCCCTTCCGCACCCCACTTGGTGGCATCATCAGAGGCTGCTGAAATGGGATGACCAATGGCATCTTTTCTTGCTTCTTTCTTCAGCCCCACATACCTGGGCTTGCTCAAACTGACCCCATCAGCACCTTTGGCCCCATGTCTTCCCTCACTTCTGTAACTGTTCTAGTCTGGGCTCCTAGCATGGATAGCCTGTTGATTATGACTCCACCTCATCTCAAGCTTCGTGGGCTACCTTCTTCTCATCCATCTCCAGCTCAGCACTTCTTGCACAGAGCCTTTCTTTACCTTCAGTGATTAGATCCATCGGCTCATTAATGAAGGACTGGCAAGCTTTATCTCACTTACTAGCATCTGTTGGTTGGTAGTGGTTACCAGAATATTATGGTAAGAGTCTGAGGCACAATCCATCCTTGATGCGCAAGGGTGCCGCCATTGTTCTGTGTGGGTAGCCCATGTCTGGTACCCTGCCATTTACAGGAACTGTAGTAGACTGCATTGTAATTTACCACATGGTTCGGCTTCTTTCTTCACCTTCCAACATAGCTATGCTGAGTCTTTATAAGACTAACTTTGGGGAATAAGATGAGGCCAGGTGAAGGATGTCACGCTGAGTAATCATTCCTCAGCAGGATGCAGTGTACATCGTCCCTTTCCCACAGCTGGATCCTGGCTGTCCTGACATAGGAAGTCAAGTCCCAGGGTGTGTTCTTACCCCATAGGTGGTTCACGGTCTATGTTTATTTGAGTGAGAAGAACATATTGTCAGGGAACATTTGGGGTAGTTTGTCTCCACAGCATAATTGAGCCCATCCTGATAGGTGCATAATTTGTACAGAAAGAATTTTAGTAGTATCTTCTGCTTTACAAATATTAGATTAGTACAAAAATCGAGTGCTTATTTCAGAATGTACCAAGAACCACTTAATTCAGTTTAAAACACCTTCTGCTTTTCATTACTCAAGTGAGTATTTTATTTTTATTTTAGGGATAGACTATAATAGATCAATTTAAAGCAGTTACGTTTTTATAAAATCTTAGTTATGTAGAGATCAGGGTTGCAAATCAAAGAACCAATGAGGTCATTTCCAAGACTGCCAATGGTGGAATTAATTGTCATATGTTCCAAATACTGAAGTCCTAAGATGCCATTACCCTGTGGGCACTGGTCCTGATTGGGTGTGTTTTAGTTTCCCAGGTTTAGACACTCTTAGTAATCAAATTCCTTTGTGCTCAACAGATGAAAGACTGTTGATTAGGAGTGGGGATTGGTGCTGCAGCAGAGGCAGTCCGAGTAACAAGTGGGGAAAATAAAGCCTGAAGAGAAGAAGGAGAGGTGGAAACATAAAAAGCCGGTTCAAGAATTCATGAGATCTTGCCACAAGGAGGACACTTGGATATCTAGCACACAGTGCTAGATGTGTTGATAACAGGTGGCTTCAATGGGCTTTTATAAAGTGACAATGTGCTTGGTTCATCAAGAAAAAAGTTAATCCTATGTGATACCCCAGTAGGAGAGGCTTATCTTACAAATTTTCATAAATAGTGAAAATGAGATTTAAAAGAAAGGCTAAACTTTAACTTTCAGAAAGCACACTTCTACTGAATGTCTCCTAAAGGTTTTTATGTTGGAGGCTTGGTCCCTAGGCTGTCACGTTGGGAGGTGGTGGAACCTTTCAGGGACCAGGCTGGTGAGTGGCCATTAGGTTACTGGGGGAGCTTGCTCTTTGGGGGGGTTTCTTTTCCTCCTATCTGTTTCATGACTATGAGATAAAATGGCCTTTTTCTGCCGTCACTATCCAATGTGATATGCTGCTTTGCCATGAGCACAAAATTCAAAGGGCTAATTGATCATTGACTGAGCCTCTAAAAACTGGGACTGAACAAGCCTTTTTGTTTTTTCAGACATTTGCTATAGTGACAGAAAGCTGACTAACACGTATACCTATTAATTAATTTAGTGAACACATTTTTTTTTCTTCAGAGTCTTTTAATTTTTACAAAGCAGCTGGAGAATCTTGGTTCTCCAAGGAACACTCTAGAAAGGTCACAGAGCAGACTGAAATCACCCTTGTGAAGGGGAAGGTGAGAACGGTACCCGGGGAAAACCATGGTGAGACCCCTGCTTTTAAGACCTGTCTCTGAGGCCATGGGAGGGAAACACACAGAAGAGGCCAGGGACGCTGAAAGAGGCACTGTGAGGGCCAGGCACGGCAAGCCAGTGGGAACCGTCTGGAAGATGGTTTACCCAGGACCAGACAGTCTCTGGGCATCCAGAAGAGCTTTTAAAGATAAAAGAATGCAGAGGATGCTCCATGCCAGCCCTGTGCTAAAACTCTCGCTAAGGGATTCCTTCTGGAGAGGGCTGGGGAACTTCAGGCCGCAGGAAACTCGCTGCACCTGGCTGATAGAGCCTAGGAATGACCAAGTCCCCAGCCTGTGGGATTCACGGGTGTGCAAACAGGAACTTGACTGAGAGGCTGCCTCTTGCCTGGGGTGCTTTGACGACGGTGGAGAAAGGAACAGAGAGGCCCCACCCCGAGCCCAGCCCTTCTGTGTGGTCAGGAGAGGAGGTCGGCCTTCACTGTGCCTGTGGGACCCTGTTTTATCCCCCCCCCAAAGGTCGGAGGACCTTGACGGGTGGGGGTGGCTTCTGCTACTCCTGTTTTAGTAGAACACCTTCTCCAGGTATGGATTCAAGAACATTCCAGTGGGGTCCAGCTTCTCGCGGATGTCCAGAACTTTCGAAAGGCAGGGTACATTTTCTCAAAGTCCTTCCTGGTGCAATTGTGGGCCTTTGCCCAGTGGGGTCTGCCTCCAAACTTCTTCGTGATGGTCTCATAAGCCTGCCAGTATTCCAGCCGAGGCACATCCTTGCCATAGGGTCTGTACATGATGATGTTCATGTAGCAGCTGTCTCTCTGGAAGCAGGGGCTCAGCAGGATCTCATCACCTCGGGTGAAGCGCACCTCCCCGGGGAAGTGGGCTACCACATGGGGGTGGGCCTCCAGCATGGCCTTCAGCTCCAGCAGGGCCTCCTTGGTCTTCTCCCTGGGGATGGCCCAGTCTTGGACGTGCTGTTTGAAGCGACACTCGTAGGTGAAGATCTTGTGGCTGAGGTTGCTGCTCTTTTTCTTGTGGCTGAACAGCAGCCAGAAGAAGAAGCGGTTGACCCAGCCCACGAGGAATGGCCAGTAGGTGCTGATCCAGAGCAAGAATTCCAATAGGTAGAGTCCAATGGCACAGTCCCAAAACCAGCTAGATGCAGAGGAGGGGGGCTTATTGGTGTGGTCTTGGTAGATGATGCTGACGTTCTCACTGTGGGGAAACCAGAGGAAGCAGAAGTATTCTGACTTCTTCAGGTGGCTGTCTAGGTTGTCCAGGACCTCCTTGGGGGTTGAAGGGAAGGAGGTCTCCTGGAGGTGGAACTGTGGCACGCACTGCAGGGTCATGGTGAGGATGATGCCCAGACAGCCCAGGTGCACTCATGCAGCCTGGAACACATCCACGTTGCTTGACTCGGAGCATTCCAGAACTGTCCCGTCAGCCTTCATCAGGGTCAAGGCCACCACCTGGGTGGGCAGGATGCCATGCTTGATCCCCGTGTTATGTGTGCCAGACCCAATGACACCAGCAATTGTCACATCGGACACCGCTCCTAGATTGGACATGGCCAAGCCATGCTTGTCCAGCTGTAGATGCAGGTCAGCCAGGAGGATACCAGCTTCTACCTTCACCTGCTTCTTCTTCGCGTCCACCTGCAGAACCCGGTTCATCTTGCCCATGTGGATCATGAAGCCATCAGTGCAGGCGATGTCTGAAGGGGAGTGGCCACCGCCCACCACCTTCACTCTCTTGTTCTGCTGCCGAGCCAGGGCCAGCACCTCTCTGACCTCCTCCACTGATGTGGGCTGGTAATACATCTCTGGGCAGCAGCCATAGGTCTTCGCCCAGTTTTGGAACTGGAACCCTTTGCATCCATGGACCATGGTTCCAGTGGTCTGTGGTGTCAGACAACTTGAAGCGTTCCCAGGAAAGTCGTACAAAGCCCTAGGCAGTAGGGGCAGTGGTCAGGCAACCTCAGCTCTGGGTTACCTCAGGCAGAATGGGACTGTTGGTTTGGTCACCAAGGCGTTTGGGCCAGGCAGGTATACAGTGCCGAGTGGGCTCCTCCCCTAATCCAACAGTGGCTGGCCGTGAATGGAAAGTCTTAGCAGTTGCTCAGTCCCACGGGGCTGGGTGTCTCAGCTGGTCTCCTCTGTACGCTGGAATCTGGAAGAAGTCTCCGCAATGCCAGTGATGGATGGATGTACTGACGAGGCAAGGGCAGGCAGGCGAAGAATTAGTGAACACATTTTTATTGTTGGTTATAATAATACATGTTTATCATTGAGGACATAGGAAGATACCAACTGTCTGGCCCCTTGGAAGACAAAGAAAGAATAATAAAGGTGATGATTCTCTGTGGTATGTATTTTAAGAAGTGGTGCATACATAGTGGGAGATAGACTCAAAAGAGGGAGGCAACTTCTCCATAAGAAGAGTTGGTAGGTTAAGAGAAATCTCTTTGATTAATAGTTTTTCTGAATGCGGATAGTTTAGCGGGTAACTGTAGAGGTTGAGATTGGCATGGGTGGTAGGAATAGATTCCCAGGCTGAGCCCAGTTCATGGACACTAAGGGCTGGGATGTGGAAGCAGACGGTGTGTTTGTGTGGTGCAGGAGGTGCAGGGACAGAGGATTTGGTGAGGGAAAGGTTGCTCCTTTTCTTCCTACTGGCAGACACCAGGAATATGAATAGATTCTTCAGCAAACTGGCAGCCATCTTTGGTTTCTCTTCATACAAGAAGTCCAATTTCTACTTTTGCATCATTAGAAACAAAATCCTCCTGGTTCGTCTTTGGCTTCAGTGTTGTAAAGAATAATGTCTGGGTTTGAGAGAAGACTGACTTGCAGCCCTATGGAAGCAGCATTGTGTTGCTGGAGTTCCAGGATCTTGATATAAAGGGGAGGATATTAGAAATCAGGCATGACATTGATTTCTTCTTACACAATTATGCAGTGTTTCCTATGTAGTATATGTCTCTGGGCACTGTCTGAACACAATGCAAAAGAGCGGTATCTCCCGTGATTCCTAATGATAAACAGCACAGAACTAATCATGGTGGTAGAGAAAACATAGCTCTGCCCTAGCTTTTCTTGCTTGTCAGCCGTATCAGTATACCTGAAGAACACTCAATTCTGTTATTTGAAAACATTTGTAGAGGGTTTAAAGACACATTTCACTGAAGAAATATTGTGGTAGGTTATCACACATTATCATCCATTATCCATTCTCATCCCTCAGTGGACGCGGCCCCCACACCCCGGCGCACAATGGGCAGCACTAACTGGACTTAGAGGGTTACTAGGAACAACAACAACAACAATAAACGAGGACATAAAGTTGGAGGGTGATGGAGTGGGGTCACTAGGAGACGTTGGAGGGAGGTAGTGGTGGAGAGATATGATTAAAGTATATTATATAGACATAAATGTACTTCTCATCGTTAACACAAAGCTAAATTATCATTCAGTACTGACCATCAAGATTTTTCTGTTGAATAGTATGTGAGTGTGGGCATTGACAATTTTAACTGTGAAGAAGTTCTAATACATCTAGAATATTTGTATGTATTTCTGAATTGCTGAGTGACTTGTCTACCCTGTGGAGAACAACACACATGATTTTTACCACATTTTGTTTTGCTTCCTGGTTGTCACAGTTCTACATGTGTATTAATTTCCCTTGCTGTGCTCATAGTAGAACAATATTTAATTTTAGCAAAGGTAAACTTCTTAGTGTTTATGGAAAGCATGGCTTCAGTGTATTAATTGACCTTGTGCACGTTCACTGCTTTCAAATGAAAATGTGCTGCTGAGCAATGTCCGTTAATGTGGTTATTGTTCCATAAAACGTATTAACTAAGAACTTATTCCTGGGAGAAAATAGCGCCTCTACAGTGAGAAGTTGACCGTAAAAAGGAGCGGCTCACTTTGGAAGGGATATAGAGGTTTTGGAGAGCAGTGCATGATGTCGCATTAAAAATAAAATTGCCACTAGCAATATATTTGTTGAAAGTCAAGACATCTGAGAGAGTCTTTCCAAACCTCTAGTTCTTCTTCCAAGCGTTGCCGGTTGGGAGCGCAGAAGAAGCTGTTTGGGCACAGCAAGTGTGACAAGCACAGGAATGCTGCCAAGGAATGCAGGAGAGGGGATTGGCAGGGCCCTTTCACGTGTTTCTGTTCTTCCCATGAGTCCTTTTCCTGAGGAGCATTCATGTGCGACAAGACTGGCCATGCATGACCTCCCCACCAACTTTCCTAATGAGCTGACCAAGAACCATGTCCAGGCCAGGTGGTAAGGTTGTGTCCAGCCTTGGCGGCCAGCAGGCTCGCCCCATGCTAGCGTAAGCATCCCTGGGCTTTGACCTGCGCATTTCTGCCAGTCTAACAGGAGGAGAGGACAATGTTATTTCATTCGTTAAATATTTCTTCGAAGTCTCTCTGGGATTCTGCAAATTTCTAGGAAAATATTTCAGCAGGCTTTTGCTTTCTTCTCTACTGCCAGCCTTAGCATTAATGTTCTCCTGGAGTGACCATAACCATTCAATTTTGCTTATCAGCTATTTGCAGTGAGAGAATGAAGTACAGATTCTTGCCCATAAAGCTGTTCCAGGAAAACTGAGGGGACAAAGTAGTGGTTATGTCAGACAATTTATGGACCAGGCAGCAATGGATGTAGCTACATTCAACACCTGGACCATAAAACCCTGCTTTGAACAGAACTCATTATTTGTGGTTAAATTAAGGAAACAGAAAATCAAGGAAGGCTCAAGGCTACTCCCATCTCAGGAATGCAAAACTTAATTGATATCCTTTCTGGATTCTCCATGACTGGCTTATTCTGAAGGCCTGCAGAAGCAGCTGAAGTTTCCAAACATGTGGTAGTTGTAGACCCGCACACACTTCCTTTATTCCAGTGTCCTGTCCCTTTCCTAAGGTAGCAAGTATGTCAGTCATGACCGGGGACATGGGAGCTTCAGGTACGACTGGCATGCTGGCTTTGGAAACATCCAGGGTATCTGTTGCCGTTCTAGACACACAGTGGCAATGTGACTTTTGCCTTCGCTTTCACACTGTGAATGAACCCTGTCTTTAACTCAAGCAATTTCCTTTAGCATATGTGGCACCTTTACTCCCAAATGACTCAGCTGTTCCCCTAACTGAAACCCACCCCCAGAATATGAATATTTATCACCACACAGAAAAATGTATGTCTCAGGCACTAAATACAATATCAAAAGAGGAATTTGTGGAGTTTTTGGCTGTCTCAGGATCATAGAATATGTAAATAATATGGGCTAGAGAGGTAGTTGGGTGGTTAAGAGTACTTGCTACTCTTTCAGAGGGCCTGAGCTTAGTTTCCAGCATCCGTGTGTGGTAGCTTACAACTGTAGATAATTGTAGCTCCAGGGGTTCCAGCACCTCTAGACTCCACAGCACTGTACTGTCACTGTATGCCGTGACGGTCCACACATAAATAAAAATAATAAAAATAATTCTTAAAAAAGAATATGTATATAACAACCCAAAGAGTCTGTGTAAGGAAGTGATGACATTTTTTGTTTTGTATATAAATACATATATGTGTCTTTATACAAATAGAACTCATATATATGTGAGCTGTGTGGTATTCATTTCAGTCATGCATTTTATAGCATTATAAACTGAATGCTTATGGTAAGATCACAGCTGTCTGCAGTATCTCCCCGTGTCTTCCACTTCACTGGTGTCAATTTGTGTTTGGAGTTAGTTCAGACAATGTTTGTTCTTCCTATTGAGAAGAACATCTTAATACATCTTAACACATTAATGACATCTTAATACATGTCATTCTGTGCAAGAAGGCAAAATTGTTGATATAGTTATGATCATCACTCAAGCCTCCTGGAATATCTCATTTTTTAGAGAGAAAAGGAGTAATCAGCATACAATAAAATCAGAGCCAGGCACAGGAGCCTGAACAATGCTGTGTGTCAGTGTGTATTGCTTCTTTCAAGTTTCCTTCCTTCCTTCCTTCCTTCCTTCCTTCCTTCCTTCCTTCCTTCCTTCCTTCCTTCCTTTCTTCTGAATGCTTGGCTTTGGCTTGGCTTGTTTCTAGCCAGCTTCTAAGTTTTTATATAGCCAAATTCTTTAAAATGAATGACATTGGCTATGTTGAAGGAGGAGAATCAAAAAGTGAACAAATGGAGCAATATGACAACCAGTGTGTGTGTTTAAGGGGCGGTGCGGAGAGGGTCTGGTGAAGGTAAGTGCCACATGCCCTAACGAAAGGCGGGCTGTCCTACTCCCGCCCTTCTATTGCTGTTCTGGAATGCTGGGCCCGTGGATAGATCTTTATGGAGAGCCTTTTAAAAAAGATTTGCTGTGGGAGGGTGGTGTGGTGTTGGACTCCCAGATATTCTTGGAGCCTGCTTTTAAGAAGGTATTTAACTCTCATGACCCCTAATTTCCTTGGCTCTAAAATAGGATTCTCCCAAAGGTACACTAAGAGGTTTAAATGAAAGCATTTACCAAATAAAATAAGTGTGTTGCATTCTCCGTTGTATTGAAAAACAATCTCAGCATACGGGTACTTTTAAAAATCCCATGTCCCTCTCTAGTCCTTTTCTATTGTTACCACTGTCAAGAGTGGCACCCAAGACTGCCATGCTTCATGGGAGGCCCCGGCTAGAATTGACAGGGAAGGTCCTAGCCCAGAGGCGCTGGGATAGAAACATTGGCTCTCTGTAACTGGAGGGAAAATAAGGGGATATGGTGAGAGGTGGCTTTTCTCAGGTGATTTCCATTCGGATCTGGAGGCCAAAGGAATACAGATGTTTGGTGTCTCTCTAAGGCTGCCAGGGCTTAATGAAGTTCCTCATGGGGCAAGAGCCACGTGTGCTTATTAAGGTTGGCTATTGACATACCCAGCCCCTGGAGCAGGAAGGAAACTGGAGCCAACAGTGCCACCAAGTGGCCTGAGTCAGAAGCAAGCTTTGTCCAAGGACCTATCCCCACACCTCATTTTCCTCTAAAAGAAAAAAACGAGAGCAAGAATATTTTCCCTGGATGCCTGTAGAGGGAATGATCTGGAATGTGAACCTTCTGGAATGTTGCAAGGTTTGCATGAATGTTCATTTAAACAACCAAGCCCTTGAAGTGCCGCCCAAGTGAGAATGTTGTAGGGCTAGAGGGCTTTGCTCGTGTGTATTCAGGTCGTCTATAGAAACAGAAGGAGA